ACCACACCCACGCAGAGGAGAGGAGAGGAGTGGAGAGATCATAGTTGGGAAATTGGAATATGACTGAGGAGGCTAGATCCGTCGTCCGAGTTGTGTAAGTCTCTTCGCTTCTCCTCTTCTTTCTCCAATTCTCCTAAACAAACAAACAAATATGAATGAATTGAATATAAGCATACTTTCCTTGTCTCAGATCTAAATTCATAATAATATTTAGCAGCTTGCTTGTTCTATGAATCCCTAATTTCGGTGACGTTTTGGAAATGGAATTGTGACGCAGCCTTGGTCCTCCTTACCAATTAATTGTTTGTTTATTGTGTTTGGAGAGAGAGAGAGAGAGAGAGAGAAGGGGGGTTTACTATTTGGTATATTCACGGATGTATGCATACTTTGTGTTTGAATGTTGACAACTTGTCTTCATTTTCTCGCAAATCTGCACAGTAGAGTAGCAATGGCTTCTGCTTTTTGCCTTTCCAGTTTATACTCCTTAACTTGCAGCCTTTCGAAAGACTAAAATTTTTCAATTTCAGTACTTGTGATTAAGTGTTGCAGAATACTCATGAGAGAAGGATGGATAGCCCTACCACAATCTGGTTGCCATGCCTCCCTTTTTGCATGATGATATTCAAGTTTTACTGTTTATCTCTTATTTACCATAAAAGAACATATAATTCACAGCACTGTAGGAAATGATGATTCATTTCAAGAATTTCAAGCTACTTATTTGGCATGAAATTATTTCTCTCATCTGATCGATATGTTAGATAAGATTTTAATTGGTATGAGTCATGACATTTTCTTTCTTTTATGCTCTACTTTATGCATTATGAATTATTACGGTGCTCTTTTTCATTTGTTTTCAGGTAAATAAATGGCAAATGTATCAACTAAAGGATGTTCATAGTTCAGGCTTAGTCCAACAACTTTGTTGTTCATGGTTAACAGTTTGACAGTGTCATCAACGCAATGGATGCCGTCAGTGGAGGAAACAGTCTTAACAACCCTAACCTTGCCTCAAAACAGCGATTGCGTTGGACGCACGAGCTTCATGAACGCTTTATTGATGCCGTTGTACAACTTGGTGGCCCAGATCGTGAGTCACCCTCAACTTTTATCTGGTCAACTGGAATTTGTTTTTTCTGTTGGTTGTCGCATTTATCTGCTGGTGTGTGGGATTTAAACTGTATATAAGTCGAAGGTGATATCTGTGAAGGAAATTTTCGACCCTGTTTTGTTCTTACGTGGACGAAATCTTGACTCGACTTTGTATGTTTTTTTCCATAGTTTCATCAACTAAGATGGAATTTACTATTTCTCGTACCAGACACGTGTATATCTAATAGGTGTTCTTGTCCTGGGCTACTGAGCAATCTCCTGTTGTGTGAAACCATAGAAAAATTCAGGTTGTTTTTCCATTTAATTGAGGGAAGAACAGCTTTTAGTTTGTTGATAGTTTTTTTTAGTTCACAATTCATCAGTGAATTCAAACACGTGAACCCATAATGACCTTCCAGTTATGTCATATATGATTCTTTGGATAAAAATTGGTCCCAGGTTTAAATCATACTTGATCTTACATATGTGGCATATGTAATATGTAATATGTTTGAGAACTTAGTTGAGATCAGAAGATGATATTTTGCATGACCAAGGATCTAGGTTACATGCATATTTCTGAGTTCCAATGGAGATATCTGTCCATTTCTGTAGTGATATTGTTTATTTTATTTCCTTTTAATCTTTTTCTAGGGGCTACGCCCAAAGGTGTTTTGAGAGTGATGGGTGTACAAGGTTTAACCATATACCATGTAAAAAGCCATTTACAGGTATGTAAAAATCCGTTCTGTCCAATGCTCAACTTTCCTGGTATTTTCTTTTTATTTTTGGCGGGTGTGAGAAGGGGTGAGGATACATTTCTTTCCCGATGGTGTTTCCTCTAATACCACTTGTGTGATGTACTTAGAAATATCGACTTGCAAAATACCTACCAGACTCCTCATCTGATGGTAGGTGAACTTGATTCCTTTCATGTTAATAATTTGTGACTTCGGAACCATATTAGGCAGGTTCTCTATAGTGATAAAGGCATGTCAAAGATGTATTAATTTTTGGACTGTTATTGTGATTCTCTTCAAATGTTAATGCAAGGGAAAAAAGCTGACAAGAAAGAACCTGGGGATGTGCTTTCCAATTTGGATGGTTCATCGTAAGTAGAACTGCCTATTATAATCGGTATTTCTTTATGTTATCAGTTAAGATATGGGCCAAGTCAATTGGTACCCTGTATTCTAAAGGATCCTGTAGTCAAACTAAAATTGAAGAATTCATATCTAGTTCACTGTTTATAAGTGCACATGGGCCATACAAAATAAATATTACTGATTTGTTATTGCATGTGAAACCATCAGTTTGTGTAAATTGACGTATCAGTTTGGCTGATTGATGTGAGGAAGTATGTACTGTTTCTGTTCACAGTGGAATGCAAATCACAGAAGCACTCAAGCTGCAGATGGAGGTGCAGAAGCGACTACATGAGCAATTAGAGGCATGTTTTCTATACAGAATATAGATTCCAATAAAATTAATGTGTTGTCACCAGGTTTTACATTTATCAACAGCATATATATTACAGAAAATTATCTATGAAATGAAGAATTTGAGAAAAAAAGAAAAGATTTTGCAAATGGTTTTATCTTTTCTTTGCTACAAAGCATTATATCGCTTAAAGTACATACTTTTCATTCATGGTTGCCACTCAGAGTTCAAATTAGCTATTTCTGATTCACCTATCTTAAAACAATGTAGACCCTCAAAAAATGATGTTGATAGTGTCAGAAATCCTTAGGAAGATTGAATGACCAAGAACTTGGATAGCAAAGAGATAAGTTAAAATCACCTCCTACCCAACTACCATACGATAAATTTTGCTGCATATGCATAGAGGATAAAGGGGGAAGGGGGAAGAGTCTTGTTCGTTGGGCCAGCATGGTTTGATAAGCTGAACTCATGAATGCTCAACAGGTACAGAGACAGCTACAATTACGGATAGAAGCCCAAGGTAAATACTTGAAAAAAATTATTGAAGAGCAACAGCGACTTAGTGGAGTCCTTTCAGAAGCACCTGGCTCTGGGCACCTAGTCCGTTTGTCAAGTGACAATTGCCCAGAATCTGACAACAAGACTCCAGCAACTCCTGCCCCGACCTCAGAGTGCCCCCTCCAAGACAAGGCCGCCAGGGAATGTGCGCCAGCCAAGAGCATTTCAATTGATGAATCTTTCTCATCTCGTCGTGAACCCTTAACTCCAGATTCAGTTTGTCATGTTGGTTCTCCAGCTGAGAGTCCAAAAGCAGAGAGGTTGACAAAGAAGCGACGAGTTAACATAGGTGAAGCATTCTCTGATCCTGAAGTGGTGCTTACACACCAGATACTAGAGTCGAGCTTAGACTCTTCTTACCAGCAAGGACATACAGCTTTCCTACCCAGGGAGCAGTTTCATCCCTCATCCGGGATTTCATTCCGGAATGAAAATCAATTGGAAAAAGTTGCAGGCAGTGACATGTAGCTTAGTACTGTAGAATTTTCATTTTGCCTCTGAGTTTCCTTGGGAGATATGTCTCAACTCTAATCAAGCGAAAGAATGTTACTAATTACAGGTGTGCTGCATTAATCAGTCTCAAGCTTCTAATTACAGGTGTGCTGCATTAATCAGGTTCAAGCTTCTAGCACATATATGAACTATGTGCCTTGTTTAGATCGAGTGAAGTTGGAATTAGTAATTCTACTGCAATATGAGTACTATTGACTGCACAGCTTCTTGTGTGTGGCCAGATTGGTGTTCTTTATATGCTTTTTCTAATTTCCCTCTTCTTTTGATATTCTTAGCCGACATTCTTCAATTCAAATATCGCAACCAGAACTAAGGGCTTTGTTGGGATTGCCTCTATAAAAAGTACTTGTGCTAGAAGTGCTTTTGTAGACAATCGACCACTAAATTGTTTTTAACTTCAAGAGTCGGCCTCAACATGTATAGTACTGCGACGGATTGGGTATATACCTAGATATACTAAATCTTAATTACGATGCTTTGGCAAACCCCAAACAAGACAATTTCGAACCAAATCAAGGCAATATGTAAAATACGGACTGGTATGGCGATGCGAGTAAATATAAGAAAACAAAATCCAAAGAGAAGCAGGTGAAAACAGTGGAGGGTGTTAGTAAATTTTGAATTAGTTGGTCTAAAAGTAACTCTCCTTTGTGGGTAATATGGGAAGTTGTTTTGGAGATTGGAGGGGTCGGTTGTTAGCGCGGGAGTTGCGGGAGTTCAGAAACTGTCATGGGGTGGCAGCGGCGGTGAACCTGTTCATGTTAGTACTCCTTTGGGCCAACAGTTTCTCCCCACATTGCATTGAATTACTGTACTGGGACACCACGTCGGTGGTAAACCTGTTACCTAAGTCCTACGGCGGCCAGTTCCTATGCTTGATTTATGAGTACCATATAGCAATTTTACATCAACCCCAATCTTCTATAAATAAAGACAGACAATCTTATTTGACCAAAAAAAAATATCTTGCAAATCTCATGTTCGTTTAACACCCAAAACTTCACCGGGATTTAAAAAAATAAAAAAAAATTATTATATGATTCAATCATTGACACATGAGAGGGAGACGGAGCACATCAGGAACCCGGTACCGGTAGATCTTCATGCCAACAGGATCCTCTCCGAATCCTTTGATGAGGATCCTAGGAATCCGTAAACCATGCCCGTTGATTATACATCATGTGGTCAGTTTTGTCAAGTATTGTTTGTATTTAATTTTAAATAAAAATATTTAAAATAATTTATAATGACACGATTTACGATGAATATATATGATTCACGGATCCTCAAGATCCTCATAAAGAGGATCCGGCAAGGATCCAGATTCATCTTCATGAAATCCTTACGTGACACGAAAAATGACATGCAGAAATTAGAACAGGGCCATGACAAAGAAATAAGAACAGCACCAATCAATGATTTTAAACAAGAAAAAGAAAAAGGGATTTAACAACCCATACAAGGTTGAAGAATACATCAACATAAGGTAAAACATTTGCAGCTACAAACATTTTTATACTACAGCAGTCACTAAGTGGCACATCTATAATTTTTTACTCGCTTTAGGATGCAAAGACGCAGTCGTTTGCCAAGGGCCCCTAACTTCTCAAATTTCTCACCCTTGGGCTTCTTTGGAGCAATGGAAACTTTCTTCTTCTTTTTTTCCTCTTTTCTTAGCTCTGATGATTTTTGTTGTATGCATCCAAGAGGCATCGCAAACACCTTAAGGTTCTTCTACAATCAAAAGGGACAACTTATCATGAAGCAAAAAACTTGGAAATATATTTTAATTACTCTATGCAGTGCGCATGCATAAGTGAAGAATGTGCAATAGTATGTTATGCATTATTAAGTTCCAGTACATATAAATGTACCAAAAACATAACAGTGGTGTGTGAAGAAAACAAAAGTCTCTACAGGAATATGAAATATGAACGCATTCATAGGATGGGTGTTGTGTGAGAATGAGAGACCTGATGACTGCTGTCAGCAGCAGAAGATTCTTCATCACTGCCTCCTAATGAAGAGCATCTGCCCCAACTCTCCCTGTTTGAGCTTGTATATGAACAACATTCTACATTCTCATCATTAGGCTGCTCCTGTAAAACCATAACTGCAGTATTTTAGAATTATAATCAGTGAAACAGACAAGTTGAAAAGTCATATAAGATGATCTATCATTTATTAACACGTATACTGAATTCTTCTTGACTTAAAAGCACTTCATCAATGCATGAACATACAACACTCCACTGGAACAAGAAACTATCATCTGCATTACCAAGCTAACTGAAAACCATTGCCAATCCATGGTTTTATACTCTGATGCCTGATCTCAATTGAAAAGACGGGAAAAAAAATCTAAAAATTTACATCACCTCTAAATGTGATGGTTCGTGACTGTTAAGTGTGTCAGCTTCATCATGCACAGAATCCTGCATTCTCAATAAGTATGTTACAGACTGACTCAACAGAATGGAGAATATGGAGAGACAAAAGGCAAAAAAACGTAAAAGAAAAGAAATACATACAACAGCAGTCGTCACTGGTGCAATTTCAGAAAGAAGTTCGCCAACACATTTTGTGGTTGAAATGGCAGGAGGAACAGAAGATGAACTTGCCACGTCAGTACCCGCAGAATGAACTCCAGTAATTATCTCATATAACAAACCCTACAAAATCAAGGGGCGGGGACATTCATTTTAGTGCAGGAAATTATGTAACATTCTATGATAGTGGAGCACAAAGTAGACATCTATTGCACAATCCCAGATTGTCAATGTAAATGGCTTTGTTAATTACATGAGCTATAATAAAATGCTGACAACTGATCATTGTTAAAATATTATTGTGCATCACCTGCCTTAAGCACAGGATACCATTGAATTATACCTGGGAAGCCAGCCCTCGAGTGCATAGAAGAATTTTCAGTGAACCTTATCATTTATGACCAATGATGATAAGGATGGGGATTGTGCATGTGTATGCATTTGTTTTTTTGGCATTGAAATGTATCATGATCTTGTGCGTGATGATGATGATGATGATGGTAGTGGTAATGGTGGTGACAATGATATAAAAATGATGCATGACTGCCACAAGCTCTAACTTCCATCCTCTCACTTTGATTTTGGCAGAAAAGCCCTTTGGTTACAAAGTATCAATGGAGCTACAGTGCATTGACACAGATTCTTAAAAGCATAGGTACATTGGTGGGAGAGTCAGCTTGTACAATACTAGCAGTAATCATAATAAAATTAATGACCAATGGTAACACAATAAGGTTTTCCACAATATATCATATGAAACAGAAATCACCTCATCCAAACCAGCACCAATCTTCAAATCCCCCAAATCATAATACTTCTCAAGCTTACATGAATGACAAGACGTTTGTGGGGGATGAAGAACATTATAGAAGAAAATGGAAACTGAATCATAATAAAACTGTGGCCGAGAAGAGTTGTGATCACCATCGAAATGTATAATATTTTTGTCCCCCTGCAAGGAATCAAAGATGTATTTATTTCTCATCAAGTGCAATATATTACTTTAAGGGAAGTGTAAGATCCTTCAACGAGACAATACCGCATAAGACTTGTAGATGATGTCAGAATGATGGGTTTGGATGAATTTGTCATCCTTAGCATGTCCAAATAAAGCAGGAATGAATGTTTTGGGTGCAACCTGCCAGTGTTACACAAATGGCCGAATTCAATATATAGTGGTAGATTAAAGTTCTTTTCAGAAAAAAAAAAATAGTGGTAGATTATATATACACAATTATATGATTATATATGCGTATAAATGATCAACTGGCTGCAGAAAGTTAAAAAATAACAAGTATTGGTTCAGCATGTGTCTAACTCATCAAGAAACAACACATTTTATGATCCCCTTGGGACACACTGCTAGTGCCCACCCTATAATGTGGTTCAATGATCCAAACACTCCAGCCTCTTTTAAGAATAATCCATGCCAAAGACCAGCCAACTTCGGAAATTATTTATCCATTTGATAATCTTGATAACTTTAGGGCATGTTTACATATAAGGAATGGGTATCATTCCAGTTCTTGTATTTACTAACAATCAAGGATTTGAAAGGGATGTGTGTGATTCCCATTCAATTGTTTACTAACCACAAAGGAATGGAAAAATAAATAAATGCATTTGGGTCTGTTCATCTACTTATTTAATTATGATTGGATGTCTAAAGTTTTTATGATTGGCTTTTTTTGCAAGGATGGTCTTTAAAAGGCAACATAAAAAATAGACGGTCCAAACTTATTGGATTAGACAACAGAGTGGACCCTGCAGATAGCTGGGAAGGTGGCTAATGATAACTCGTCCAAGGTTAACAAAACTATTATATAGAAGGACCTGCAAGCAATTAAGATCCATGATATCAAACTTTGCCTTCTTCTCAATTATCCGACGCATATATTGTACTGCCATCTTAACCTGGTTAAAAGGAAGAGATAAAGAAACCAAGGTTAAAAGGAAGGAGGGGTTAAGACTCAAGAGAGAACATGTAAAACCAGAATGAATATAATTAATGCTTTATCAACCATGCAAGTGCTAATAATTTCTTAAAAATGATAATGATATTAACAAATAGACGATATTAATAAGAAGAAGAAAGAGTACAACAAAGAAAGTGGTCCAGCAAACCACCCCAAGCAGAAAGCAGAAAACCACACAACTGCAAAAGAGCTAAAACACCCAAAAAAACCATAAGGCTGCCCCTTTCTATTCTAAACAAATTAAAGAGAGATTCCCCTGAACTCAAGGGCAACTGAGGCCCAAAGGGCAGACAAAAACTGAACTCTGTCCCATAGCTTTGCCATCGAGTGAACCAACCCTACATAACCTTAACTTTCTTACCCTTCTAAACAAGAACATGGGTTTGGCTAACAGAAAAGCAATACCTTGGAATTACCCAAGTTATACCCATCTTCCTGAGCAGCTTCAACCATTAGTGGAAGGAAACCAGACAGTGAAGAAAAGTATGACCAGCAGATTCCAAATCAGACTTACACAAGACGGACCGTCGAGGCAACAAACTGAAATAAGGTCGTCCTCTTTGAACCTTATCACAAGTATTGATCTTAGCAAGGGCAACAAGCCAAGTCAACAAAACCCTAGATTTCCTGATTGGCCGGTAAGGAGCAAAATAGCTTTTCGTGTCCTGATTAGTGACGAGACCTTAGTAGGATTTGCACAAATAATTCCCATTGGTTTCCAAGGTCCATTTCCTTATATCCCTCATAGAGGGTTGAAAAGAAGTAGAGTCAAGCACAAAAGAGATGAAGACTTTGCCTCCTCCCTCACATTCAAATTCCTTTTGAACACAAAATCCCAGTTGCTCTAGCCATTAGCAGGGTTCAAAATGCAAGAAATAACCATATTGTGACAAGTAAACAAGTTGTAAAGCCTTGGAAACCAAGATTCTAGTAAAGAGGTCCCCAACCACGCATCTTCCCATAACTTGATTCTAGCTCCATTTCCACAACAAAACGACAGTTCACAATGAAAAAATTGCATCCATGAGGGATGTCCTTCCATGGACTATGACATGTTCCACCATAGGTAATGTTGGAGACCTATCCATTGTTTGAAATCCCATATGTTCTTTTAAAGCTTTTTAGCCAAAATGGTCCCTAAGATTGGCATGACTCCTCACTTTGGTCCCTAACAACCAAACTCGATCAAAGTGGTCCCTGAGTTTGTCCAACGTACATCATTTAGGTCTTCCGTGAAAAATCTATCAATATCCTTGGTTAAATTGACATGTGAACAACCACGTGACCACCTTTTAAGGGTATTTTTGTCAAACCAACCCCTCCACTTAACAAGAATATGGACAATTTTTTCACAAAATGACCAAAATGATTTATGGTGAACAAGCTTAGGGACCACTTCGATCGATTTTCATTGGCAGCGATAAATGTGAGGAGCTATGCCAATCTTAGGACCATTTGGGTAAAAAGCCTTCTTTTAATCACATGATGCCATAATTCCTCCAAGTATATTGAAATCTCCACAGCCACTTACCTAGGAGGGCTATATTTCTGGCCATCAGATTCCCAACTCCCAGACCTCCACCAACCCTACTCTTTGAAGCCGTCTCCCACACATGTCCAAACGAAACCTCTTATCAACTTCTCCCTCCATGAAGCCACTCCCATGGGAATCTTAAATAAGGATAGATAATAGATTGGAAAATTTGCTAAAACGAAAAGCCGATTCCAGGTTTGAAGCCTCTTCTCAATTTTTTTCAACCACTGGGTTCAGAATGAGATAGCTCTAGGATTCCTGCCTAAAGGAAGACGCAAGTATTTAGTTGGCCAAGCATTGACTGTGCATCCAAGAGTTAGCCAAAATCTCCACAAAAGAGGTGTCGACATTAATGTTGAAAAGAGAGCTTTTTGCCTTATTCATCTTTAAGCCTGGCCTCCCATAAGAACACTCAAATAGCAGATGCAAGATTCTTCCAAACTAGACAGTTCCCTGGGAAAAAGAAAATAGCGTCATCTGCAAATTGCAAATGAGTAACCTCCGCTTCATCCCTTCCCACACATATTTTCAACTAATCTGAACTTTTCACACACTCAATTAATCAGCTAAGGGCAACCGTCATTAAGTTGAAAAGAAAAGGGGATAAAGGATTCCCTTGACAATAAACTCTAGTTACTCAAAATTGATAACTTAGCTGACCTAATAAACCTATAAATCCATGTCCTCCATCTCTGTCTGAAACATTTCATCTCCGTCACAAACTCTTGAAAATTCCACTTGACATGGTCGTAAGCTCTCTCAAAATCGATCTCCAAACCAATCCTTTTTTCTTCAATCTAGTCTCTTCTACTACTTCATTCGGGACCAGAATAGTATCAAGAATCTGCACATCTTTGAAAAAAAAAAAAAAGTCCCTTAAGCTTTAAAGAGAATGACATGGAGCACTTCCTTAAGTCTTAAAGCTGGAACTTTGGCAATAATATTGTACATGAAAGTAACAAGGCTAATGGATCTGTAGTCTCCAATCTTCAAAGAATCACTCTTCTTCGGAATTAAACAAATACAGGTTTCTGTCGTCATTGTGTTAACCACCACATTATTGTGAAAGTCTGCCAGAACTCTCACAGCACCATCCTTGAGAATGTCTCAATACCTTTGGGAAACAGAATTTAGAAGAAGGCTAAAGTGAGGTCCAAAATATTTACTTTACCCCATAAAGCCTCCACACCCTCACCTCTATAATTTTCAAAAACCTTCTTGTTCATCTTCAGACCATTCCACCCAAAATACAGCTAAAATCTAGCATTTCCATATCTTCGATCCCTTTTCCACTTTCTCTACCACGAGGTCTTAAAAAATCTCAGCCCATGGATTACCCCTTATTTTAGCTCCATACTCTAACCAAATTAGATATAAAGAGAGTAGTTTCTCTCGTTCAAAAGTCTTGAATGTTATTTTGTAAGCTTGTGCTCGGGATGTGCAGTTGACATTCTACACCCTGGCAAGAGATCATTTTTCCCATCTGTGTGAATAGGCGTGGGGTGTGCAGGCGTATGTGACTTTACGTAGGTAGGTTGGCAGGTAGGTTTGTATAATTTGTAAATCACGACCCTATACGGATTTGGTTTGGCAACATTGACCTTGTCGGGTTCTTAACTTATTTAGTGCTATCAAGAGTCAAAACTATATTTCTCTTTTACCAATTATGTCAATTACTAGTCCCAGCCATGTCATTTTCAGCCCAACTACAATATTTTATGATCCAGCTGAAAATTTATTTTTTTCAGGAGCATTTGTTTATAGGTTTTAAGAGGTCGCACTTGGTGCGATGGCAAGTGCCTTCGCCCATGAGCGGTAGGTCTCGGGTTCGAGACTTGGGAGCAGCCTCTCCATAAATGGGGGTAAGGCTAGCCGACATTCACCTCTCCCAGACCCTGCGTAAAGCGGGAGCCTTGTGCACTGGGTACGACCTTTTTTTTATTTGTTTATAGGTTTTGCACATGAGGAATTTATCCATAGTTTTTGTGGATGCTGACAGAAATGTGTGCGTGTGTGTTTAGGGGGGGGAGGGGGGGGGAGAGAGAGAGAGAGAGAGAGATTGTACTGTAAATTTAGGAAGCCGAATCTTGTATACATCAACTAGTTCCATCATTAGAACATACAAGCTTGAAAAGGCACTATCCAACACCATTCCGGCTATGGAAGGGTCTTCTGCTCCATAAAGTAGGCTGCAATAGACATATGAGGTTAATTACATCAGGAGTTTCAAAAATATGCTTATGTACATGCAAAATGCAGAAGTATTTCTTTATGCTCGAAGAAGAATATAACCATCTTCTTTTTTTTGGTACCAAGAATATAACCATCTTTGACCCAATATGAATTTTTAATGTGGTAACAAGTTAAAAGAATCTCAGTAGACCCTTCCATATCCGAGTCAATAATACAAGTTAGTCTAATGACGAGTCAACAAATGACAAAGACGATGTACCATGTGACTGCGCCCATCGATCGCCCCCAAAGACCTATACGCAAGTTTTGCTTTTTGCTTCTTAAATATGAAACCACAATCTTGAGGTCATCTCTCTGACAGAGGAAAGAAAAAAAATTACAAAACTGAACAAAGTGAGAAAAGTAAGCATAAAATAACAATGAAAGTTACACCATACCTCATGCCAACCAAGGCTGACATAATCACCATCAGATAATCCTGAACCCGAAAAATCAAGAGTAAAAACGGTGATATTTGATGGAAGAAGCATTACGGCAGCTTCATTTGCATCTGCCCTACACCCACTGCATCGTTTCCCATTACCACAAAGTAAGTTCTACCTCTTTATCTATAAAGCACCTTTAACACTTATGTACAATTATTTAAAACAAACCAGAGAGTGTGCCGGAAAAGGGAAAATAATGTATGACATTCAAGAATCTGTTTATAACCACAATGTACAGGTGGAACCCAGAAAAGAAACCCAAGTGAATAAATAATCAAATACACATTTACTTTGTTAAAAAGGAAAAGAAAAAACTCTCAAATAATCATTATGTACCTGTTTCCATGGCAGTATATAACACATGGAAGAGAAACATCTTCAGGGAAAGGTGAAGGCAGATAATGACTACAACGCAAGGTATGGCCCCTAGCATTCGTAAGCTGCAAGAATTTAATACATATAAACTAACATTGCTGCCAAGCGAAAACTAGAATGTTCTGATAAGCGGTAACTGGTGCCCATACTTGCCTCCAAGTCTTGTCGTTTGTATGCTCTACCTGCAAGCGTGAAATCCTTTTCCCAAAGATATTGATCTGGGTTATACTCTGCCCTGTTTATCAACATTGCAGATGCGTAGAAATGAGAAAGCATCAAAAGGGAAAGAAGAAAAAAATCACCAATATGAAGTTCAATATATCATTTTGAACTATGTTAATTGCAGAAGATGTGATTTTGGTCAATGAAACTCAGAGCAAGAAGCATCATGATTCATGAGATGAGACGCATACCTGGGAGGGCGAATGACAAAATTAATGAACTGATGGATCATCTTGCTTCCAAACGTCCCTCAAAGCTACTCTAACCCATAAGTCTGACAGATATAAAAAAATAAAAAAATAAAAAAAATAAAAACGACAGCAGCGGAGTCCAATTCCTGGCAACTGAGAATCCTCACTCACTTCAAAATTCTCTCAAATCTGAGAAATTATGTAAGCTATTTAGCCGCCTATTAACAAGGAAGGAACAAAAGCCCGAATGATGAAAGGGAAAAGAAATCAAATTCTCAGATCTCACCACCAACTCTTATCTTATGAATGCTCTATATATAATCATTTTCTAAGTTGCAACTAAATAGCGAAAAAGAGCAGAGCAGAGCTTTTTACCTAGGGCTATTGGCTAGGGCTGGAGTATTGCCCCGTGAGCAACCACCAGAAACACCGTGAGCTCCAGTACCTAGCCGCAATTTCCCACTTTACAGTTGGATACAAAGAAAACCAAGCACAACACAACGCAACAAATCATAAAGGTTTTTGTCGCAAATGCTCCTGAAATTTACCTACCGTTGCTCCTTAAAATTGAAAATTAATTAATGTAGTATTTGAAAATAAGTCTCACAAATTAATATAATAATTTCGTTAAAAATTATGTTAAGTGATGTGGCACTTAAATGGTCCCATAAATGTAATAAAATATTATTTTGTGAATTAAAAATATTTAAATATAAAAAATAAAATAAATTTATTTAAATTTAAAAAAAAAAAGAAGAAGAAGATGATTGAACATTGTTCATCATTTGGATAAATTACATAATAGCCCATCAGGTTTGAGGTCTATTACAATCTCATACAACAATTTTAAAACATTTCACTTTCATACATCAAGTACCATTTTATTTCAAAATAACACATCCGTTAGATTTTCCATCCACTAGTCTGTTAAATGCTGACGTGACTTCCACATTTGTGTTGATGTGGCTGCCACGTGATAAAAAAAATAATTTTTTATACATTAAAAATATTATAATATAACACTATTAAAAAAATTAAAAAAAAAAAAAACCCTCAACCTTTTTCTTCCCCGCTCCCATATTCCCCCAACTTATACCCCGCTGAAACACCATCTCATTCATCTTCCCAATCCATCCTCCCTCCATGTAACCCAAATCCAAAACTACTCTCACCCATCCTCCACCTCCTTCGCTCACCCATCTTCCCATCTCCCCCACCCCCACCTGAGCCCAACCTGCAACCTAGAAAGAAAAAAGAGAGAAAAAAAAAAACCCCATCTTCATCTTCCATGCAGCCCACCTCTTTCTCCTCCCTCTCGTCTTCCCCAAACCCACCGTACACCCATCCTCCACCTCCTCCTCCGCACCCAGTATCTGCAACCCAGAAAAGAAAAGGAGAAAAAAAAAACCCATCTCGTCGGGGAGGGGGATTTAACGGGAATTGGTCGTCGGGAGGGGGGTGGGATTTGACGGGAGTGGGTTATCGGGGGAAGGGGGATTTGACAGGAATGGGTCGTTGGGGGGTGGGGGGGGAGGAGGAGGTTGCTGTGCTGGGTTTATGGGGGGGATTAATGGGGAGGTGGGTTTGGGATTAATTGGTTTCTGGTTTTGGGGGTTGTGGGTAAAGCTTTCAAGTTTTTTTTTTTTTTTTTTTAATATTTAGAAGATTAGATTTAAAAAAAAAAATCATTTTTTTTGCCACGTGGCAGCCTCATCAGCACAAATGTGGCAGTCACATCAGCATTTAACAGACTAATGGATGGAAAATCTAACGGATGTGTTATTTTGAAATAAAATGGTACTGGATGTATGAAAGTGAAATGTTTTAAAGTTGTTGTATGAGGTTGTAATTGACCTTAAAACCTAAGGGGCTACTGTGTAATTTACCCATAATTTTTTTAAAGTTTTTATGTTTTAAATTCTTGACATTTCTTGTTCTTAATTTCTTGAAATTTCCTCGTTTTTAGCTTGATTTAGTGTTTTTTCATCTGGGTTCTTGAAATTTTCTGAGATTATTGGTTCCAGCAGATTTTTGAGTTAGATTTTTTTTGAAGAAAATGGAGTTTAGGTGAAGAAAATGGGTTAGATTTCTAGGTTCTTGAAAATTTCATGAGATTCTTGAACTTTGTCTATGGGATTGTTCCGGTACCCATTTCTATGACGGCGAAACCGGCTAGGAGGCCGTCGAACACGAGAGTGGAGGAACAGGGTGGGAAAATCCAATGGCTACCATGTGTGCGGTCAAGATCTTTCAACTGACCCGGGAACTCGGCCACAGTCCCGACGGCAGCACTCTACCTAGAGAGTGGAGGGGGGGTGTGGGGTGGGGGCTTTGGGGTGGGAAAAAGATGCCTTTTTCTTATTTCTTATGTTTCAAGTTTTTGATTATAAAAACTAAAAATTGTTTTTTAATATTTAAATATTTTTAATTCACAAAATAATATTTTATTAAATTTGTGGGATCCATTTAAGTGCCATGTCGGCACTTAACATAATTTTTAACGCAATTGTGATTGAAGGACCACATTGATTTGCGACACTCATTTTCTGAAACTACATTGATTGATTTTTAATTTCAGGAACCACCTTGATGGGGTGGGTCAATTTTAGGGACAATTTGTGACAAATAAAATTTCTCTTTTAGTTATATCCAATTTAACAAATAAAAACACAGTATCAAGTATGGATAAACTCTCTTCTCTTAAAATCTAAAATAATTTTCATCACAAAATTTTATACGAACAAAGACGGAGTCAAACACAAAACTTATATTGAAATTGGTACCAGACAGAATGTTTTGCAAATAAAAATTAACTTTGCACAATAAACTAGTCAGATGAGTTAGTCAACTAGTTACATGTTTGTCAGTTATCGATACAGTTGTAATAACAAAACTTAATTGACTGGTACGTTCAACTAGTCAGAGTCTACCCAAAATTTCACTTTATCCACTTGGAGGCTTTGGGATTGTGGTAAGGAACTCGAAGGGAGGTTTCATGGCAGCACAGGTCGCAAGGGAGGAGGGGGTGCAGTCGGTGCTACATGCAAAGGCTGCTACTGCATGGGTAGCAGCGCTATTCTTACAGAAATGGGGAACGGAACAGGTTCAGGTGGAAGGGGATGCTCTGCTGGTTATCACTGCAATTCAAAATACAAGCGTAGCGCATAACGGTCATTACGGGCATCTGTTCGAGGATAGAAGGCAACTTATTCAAAATTTCAAGCTATGGAAGGTTACATTTAGTTGACGAGAGACGAATAAAGTGGCACATCGTCTTGCGAGGTTTAATCTAACCATCCATCACCCAGTTTTCTGGTTCGAAGAACTTCCTGATGTAATTTCAGATTTATTATAAAAGGATAGTACTAGTAGTTAATTTTGGTGCGGGACACTTCCCTTCGTTCAGGTTGAAAGCTCCGACAATGTTTTTATTGAGGCCCACTATAAGCATCTTATCCTCGATTTGTACGTATTTCAATTTTCAATGAATATCGTACTTCATTTAAAAAAAAACCATTTGTAACACTAAATGAATATATTTAGAAATAAATTTTTTTTATTATTGAAATAATTAATGACATTTATTAATACATAAGGATCTTAATAAAAAATTAAAAAAGAATAAGATTTTAATCAATTGATTATTAATACTAGCTAGCTAGCGAACGCAAATGACATGTATCAAAATAGTAAGACGAGCTACTTTTTGACGAGAATTCCTGTACAAATGACATTGGTCACTCTTCATAGAAGAAATAATCTTCAAGAACGGCTACGGTTCGATTGGATAATCTGGCTTCTTAAGCTCCACCCTTCCACCTGAAAGCAGGTGACAACATTGCATTTTTAGTTAAAAGTTCACGAGTAGTTAAAAGTTAAAAGTTCACGAGTAGAACACCGCGTTGACATAATATAAGCATAATTTAGGTGTGGCATACCTGCGTTGTATATGTATTAGACATCCGATTTCCGCATTCTTCAATTAGAGCTTGTTGATGCACAAAACCGGATGGTCTTGGTACAACGTAAATCCGACCGTGAATCTGCATGAGATGTAAATGACACAAGATGTATCGTGGTTCACCCCAAGGTTTGGGCTACGTCCACACTGATTGTATTGTATTTCTCTGTTGAAGAAGGAGAGAGAGAGCTTAGAGCTTAGGGGTGTGAGGAAGCTTTGAGAGGGATGAGGAGAGACCCCCCCTCTTTGTGAGGGTGAGGAGGCCCTTTTATAGAATAAGGGCTCCTCCCCTAATTACATATTTGCCCATTCCTTTATTACATAATTACATTTAAGTCCCTCGAGTATTTATACGAGGTCTAAATACGAGGTCCTAAATATGGTATAAACAGTAGTCCCCCAAGTCTTCAGTCAAGAGAGTCTTTTGGCTGGAGACTTGAAATTCAGTCCATGTGTGGGCCGAAGTAACTAGATATTGTCTTGAACTGATGCTCGATATGAGGCAGTGCTTAATCTGAAATGACGCTCAACTAGAAGTAGCACACGCTGTGAGGCTACTCGGCTTGTGGCTTATGTTGCCTTGGTTGGCTCAGCTTGTGGCGTTGAAGGTGAGGGAGTCCCTTTTATAGAATAAGGGTTCGCTCCTCAATACATGAATGATGAGCTAGAGTTGATGCTCTCTAATGATGGTGAGGGAGTCCCTTTTATAGAATAAGGGCTCGCTCCTCAATACATGAATGATGGGCTAGAGTTGATACTCTCTAATGATGGTGAGGGAGTCCCTTTTATAAAATAAGGGCTCGCTCCTTAGTACATGAATAATGGGCTAGAGTCCCCCAAGTATTTTTTATAAGGCCCAATATATGGTACATAATGTAGTCCCCCAAGTCTTTGGTCAATAGACGCTGTTGGCTGGAGACTTCAAATTCAATCCATGTATGGGCTGAAATGGCGGTTGTTCGGAGGCGGTCTTTGTAGACCATGCACTGAAGCTTTGTAGGTGAAGCTTTGCAAGTGAAGCTTTGAAGCTGGAGCTCTGTAAATGAAGCTTTTGAAGCTAGAGCTTTTGTAAATGAAGCTTTTGAAGTTGGAGCTCTGTAAATGAAGCTTTTGAAGCTAGAGCTTTTGTAAATGACGTTTTTGAAGCTAAGGCTTTGTAAATGAAACTTTTGAAGTTGATTGTCATGAGTGATGCTCATGAATGTTTAATTGACATGAGTGATGCTCATGAATGTTTGATTGACATGAGTGATGCTCATGGATGTTAACATGAGTGATGCTCATGAATGTTTATGTATGATTGACATGAGTAATGTTCATGTATGATTTGAAGTACTGGGCGTACTTTTAATCACCTGGTTGGTGGCATAAAGGAGAGTACGGGTTGTACATTTCATCACCTGGTTGGTGGTAATAGCGGCAGGTTGCCGAATAATTTTGGAGTATTGGGCGTACTTTTGATGACCTGGTTGGTGCTATTTTAGGCTTATGGGCCTTCACTCTCCACACAACATTCCAACCCATTTATTTTGGGTTTTGTCGTTTTTTTTTTTTAATTTTTTTTTTGAACCCTCTGATGGGGTTTATACATATTACCCTCTGATGGGGTTTATACAGATGTTTCCGAAAGATAAGGAAAATAAATTACATCATTCTGGTGGGGTGTTTATTCCATGCTTTTGCAGTGTTTTTCTGCTGCACTCTCTCTGTTTCTTTATCTGGCAGACATAAGGAATCATAATAATAGGAAGATCTTTTGCTTTTCTTTTTTTCTCTTTTCCTTTTCTGCTTTTCCTTTTGCTTTCTCTTTTTTATCTTTTCCACTGCACTACATGTTTACAGCATGAGTGAGTGCATGGTTGGAGTTCGTGGAGGACCCGTTGGTGGTGCCCGTGCCACTGCTAGTGGATGATTGCTTTTGCCTATTTTTTGATGATGGTGTCTCTTTCTTTTTGAGTTGGTAGTCGACACATTAATTCATCAGATAAAAAAAAAAATTCTTATCTTCTTTCATCAGCTTTCTCTGTCCACCACCACATTGAACCTTAGCTCCATGATATGGGTCTATCTGAAAAGCAACTTGGGACTGATTGTAACCAGCCCTTCTACTGGATACATGGTGATGTCTCCATTGAAGCCGTGACGTCTCCGAGGGCATGGTGGGCCAGACTTCCACCCGAAAAGCCGCTGGCATCATTCTCCAGATGATCAAGGAAGGAAAAATCACGGGTCGGGCCGTTCTTCTGGCGGGTCAGCCCAGAACCGGCAAGATCGCCATCTGCGTCGGTTATGGAGGTGGAGTCGTAGAGGAGGCCGTCGGTGGTCATGGAGCCAATTGGAAGCGATGACGTCGTGTTAACGATGTTGTTCTGGTAGTCCCGTAGGTTTTGGGGGTGCGCAGAGGAGGAAGACTGGTGTGGTGTGGTGGTGGTGGGCTTGGGCTTTGTAGCGGAGGAGAAAACTTCTCTTCTTCCTCCTTTCTTTTTCTTGGCTGAGAAGCCCCAATTCCAATTCAAATTCTGATAGAGCAAAATTTCAAACCATCAGACTGCTGAATTTGTTAGAAATCCCGTTTGGCAGTTGAGAAACAGAGAGAGAGAGATCTATGTCGGTGTGGACGCCCAAGAACAGGAGAGAGATGAGGGATATGAGATAGATGTAGGGATCTTTCTATAGCTGCTCTAGCATAGACACCCAAAGATCGAGATTTGATCAGAACCCCATTAAAATTCTCCGATTGGAAAAACAACCCATTTTGGAAAAAAATGCCGATTTAAGAGACCCGAGTGAAGATTTGATCCAGCACGCCATGGGAGGGCATGAAGCTGAAAATTCGAGCTTATTTTCCCAAATCTGTAAAGGTGTTGAAAGAGTTGCAGAGAAGGACATGGAAGCCGGAATCCGTGGCGACGGAGAAATAACGGTGGTCCTGGTTGAAGAACATATGGCTGCATGACTTGCCGGACTTGTGCTTCGCGGCCTGAAGCTGGTGGGTTATGCTTGCTTTCTTCTCTGCCATTTTTTCAGTTTTGGGATTCTCTCTCAATCCCTCTGTCGGTCTGGCGCATGTTGACTGGAAAAAACCTGAAAGGGTAGGTTACCTGGCAGGAAGCTCTTCCCACTGGCTGCACTGTTGGATGATTGAAAATTTTGAAGGGGTAGGTTATAGACCCATCAAAGGTGGTGGGCGTCGGTCACAGCTCCCTTGTCGGGGACGATACCTTTCTTGGCAGCAACTGGAGTAAATGGGACTGTCATCGCGCCGTGTTCCATTATGACAAGGCAAACTTTAACGCGGGGACGGGTGGCATTAAGCGCTGTTGACATGGTTGTGTTAAAAACCAACATAATTGAAGCTCACATCCACATTGGATTTCATGGTTGTCTTGATCTGGGCAATCATCATCCATTTTTGTCGAAAGCTTTGATAGTGTCATTAGCACCGAGACAACCTTGAAGGGCTTTCTGAGCACGGACCGTCGACGACCTTGAAGGGTTTTCTGAGCACGGAAGGGATAGGAAGTGCATCGATACGACAGGCCTGGACCTCGCTGTAAACGAAGGCGAATCAGCCGGTGACATGTGCCGGAACTGACTCAACATCGGCAGCACCGCCGTTAGCAATCAGTGATGGTGGATGAATGAGTGGTTGATTTCTCTGATGTATGAGCGGCTGTCTGGAAGCTGACTGGAGCTTTTGCAGAGAGAGAATGGTGAAACAACGTCGTGGAAGCTGTCTGGAGCTTTTGCTTTTGGACCGCGTCCCATGACTGTGCAGGGGAGAAGTCACTAGCAAATTTGCTAGTTCAAGCCCCGTCCTGCTCATTTGGTTGTTCATCTTCAGTAGTTTATGTAGAAATATGCTTCGCAGATAGAGAATGGTGAAGTAACGTGAGAGCTGGACGACGTCGTTTGAGCTGGTAGGGGAACTAGGAGAGATGAAGCGAGATCTTATGAATCAGAAAGAAAGGTTTAGACTCATGGGTTCCCATCCAAAATTCAGCATATGATTTTTCTTGAGTTTTGGAGTTTTCCTTTCTGCAGTTTTGAGATATGGGTTTTGCAGTGACTTTGGTTTCTGGGTTTGTGTGATTTTGCAGATTCACGATGAAGGTGAAAAAATGAAAGAGAACCGAAATAACTTTTTGTGTCGTTTCCCACAGACGGCGCCAAATGTTGATGCACAAAACCGGATGGTCTTGGTACAACGTAAATCCGACCGTGAATCTGCATGAGATGTAAATGACACAAGATGTATCGTGGTTCACCCCAAGGTTTGGGCTACGTCCATACTGATTGTATTGTATTTCTCTGTTGAAGAAGGAGAGAGAGAGCTTAGAGCTTAGGGGTGTGAGGAAGCTTTGAGAGGGATGAGGAGAGACCCCCCCTCTTTGTGAGGGTGAGGAGGCCCTTTTATAGAATAAGGGCTCCTCCCCTAATTACATATTTGCCCATTCCTTTATTACATAATTACATTTAAGTCCCTCGAGTATTTATAGAGTTCCCCTCCGACTAGGAGGCCAATCACTACTCGACACGTGTCAAGATTAGAAGCCAATCAGAGCGCAG